GAGACTAAGCCAAAGGAAAATGAATGAATGAATTAATTAATTAATTAATTTTCTGTTTGGAAACTCACATTTTTTTCAAAGATCAGCATTTATAATTATATTTAGTACAGATAAATATATATTTTCATCTGTATTTTATTTCTGTTTTGTGTGTCTCCTATAAATCATAAATGCCTTTGTTTCATATTTAAATATATATATTTTTGTTAATGAACTTAAATGATAAAAGATTTATAATTGAGTTTCAGGAATTTATTTGACAACACATGCAGATGTGAAATTATATTTATTAATCTTTTCACCAGGACATGATGTGGATTTCATTTTCTTCTCCAAATATGTTCTTTATGTATATGTATTTATTTTAATGACTATTTTTGCCTCTTTTATGCAATTGAAAGCATAGCCCAGTGTCTCTGGTAAAAACAATGACTGAAATTAAAAGAAAACTTTTTATAAAGGTCAAACCGTGTTGGCAAAAAGTTGAAATCTTCCACCATGACAACAGTATCTCATGTAAATATACAGTTTTTCTTTATGTTTTACATATTTTTACTGCTTTTATTCTGTTTCTTTTTCTGCTTGTTTCTTTTTTCTCAGTTTGATTAGGTATTCTTGTGCACTGTGAGATTATACTTGTGATAAAAACAAAAGCAAAATAAATGATGATTTTGAATAAACACAGAGATGATTCATGTCAATATGATGTATAACTAATTTCAGGAATAATGTTAAATCAGTATTTTCAAATGCAACATTTTTATAAATGTGGGAACTGACATAACTATAGCATTAATAGCTTTTCATATTGTTTTGTAGCACATCTAAATTAAAAGTCAGGAACTAACTAATATAAACTAATTATTATAGATATAAACAAATGGATAAAATTATTTTGATAATAAACATTGCTAATATAAGTAAGGGCAATATATATTTTGTGTTCTTCAGGTTATGTAATGTTGCATTGAATCAAGTCTGACATATGCAAATGTGATATTTCATTCTTGCTTATACTCATTAGAAACTAATAAGTTTGAGAACAGAAACCTATCTAAAAACTGGCAAATGTCTGGCTTAAAATATATTTGTTTCTATTAAACATTTGACATTCTTATAGGGCTCCTATTTTAGCCCGTTTACAGGATGTAAAATGAGCCTTTGGTGTCTTCAGAAGGTGTCTGTGAAGTTTCAGCTCAAAATGCCTGTCAGATCGTTTATTATGCCCTGCTGAACATATTAGTTTTGTAAAAGATGCAGTTATTTTTGTAGCCTGTGCCTTTAAATGCAAAAGAGCTTGTTCTCCTCACCCAGCGTTCTCCCATCCGTGTCAAAGATGAAGCAGAGATGCAGTTTCTTAGTCAAAACTACCAAGTAAGTTTATAAGATGTATTGAGTTTATTCAAACTTTTCTGCAACAATGAGGCACGCACAAATGTCATTACAAAGTTTGTAGTACACACACACACGTTTAAATTAGTAGCTACTGTTTTTGCATGTCTATTCGCAGCATGTGACAGATTATAAGTTAATATACACTGCTCTATGGATATTCATCAGGCATTTAACATCCCCAAACCAGGACTCCTGTTGTGTGTTTGAAGCATTTTCCTTTATAGTTGTACTGACACTGTGTGGCTGTGCTGATTCCAGCGGTTATGATTGATTAAAATAGTGATTTTACTCTTTTTAAGACAATCATATACTGTTGTTTGTAATCTTGTAAAACTCATTCTTGAGCTGCAGCTGATCGCAGAATGCTGAACAGATCTTTTAGTACCAGTGTCTTTGCAAATTCTGTCTTGTGGACATGATTATACATGTTACATTGGTGACATGTTAATATGTGCCTGTCCAACACAATCTCACGGCAATTCGTAATTTTTTCATTTAGTGGCTAATTCGTATGAATTCGTACGATCTAATTCGTACAATTTAGTACGGTTTGCTTATCCCCCAATGATGGTTGGGGTTAGGGGTGGGGTCAGGTGCCACGCCTCCTTTTTAAAATCGTACCATTTCGTACAACTGAACTCGTACAAATTCGCCACTAAACTGGCAACACGCAAAATACTTACGTTTTCTCGTGAGATCAGGCTGGCCTGTCAAACAATTCGGTGAGCATGTAAAACCACACTCATGCATGTTGCGGTGGGCCTTGAAATCACAGGGATATTTAATATCAGGAGTTTCGTTTTATATATAGTGACTTGTGTTTATGTCATTTCAATATGACAGTGGACACACTATACTACACACACTTCTGTCCAAACTAAAAAGTAAAAGAAGAAGCTGTGGATTGTGAGCCACTATCTGTACATTGTTTTTAGTTAGCAGTGATATCTTACATGCAGTTTCTAGCGTTAACTCTGTTGTGGAAAGGATGTAAACACAGGTGTAAACAACAGGAAACGCTTAACAATTTAGATACAAATGAAATTCATATCATCAAATGATTTTTGTTGTAAACATACCTATTTTGTATATAAACTACTAAACTATATAACTGCTCCTATAGATGCACTGAAATACATTTTATTGGGGTGGAGATGAGTCAGCAAGTTATTATTAAACAAGACACATTTGAAAATACAACAACAACAAAATGATGTATTTATATAAATAATATATTATATATATTTTTATTGTTTTTAACCCCTTTTTGTCTGAAGTAATCTAGATGTGGAGGGCAGGCCATTGTTATTTCAGAGATCTGAATAAAAGAGGAAGTGGTGGAAAAAACTGTGGTAAAGTAATTGTCATTCACGCCTCCCTCTATCAGTGTAAGAGAGAGACAGTAAAGCTCCAGCTCTCATTTCCCTCATCTTCAACACACGACTGCGGTAAGTCAAATACACACAACACGGTAAAACATTTATTCCTCAAATGTAAAATGTATCTGTAAATGAACAGATTTCAGTATTTTGTGAGTCATGTTTTTTCTTTTATTTGTGCTTTTGAGTTGCAGTGTGAGACCCTGAGCCTTCCTCCAACAACTTTTGAAATAGAAAAGATTAAAAAAGTGACTAATATTTTTATACCATTATGTCAAGTTTAGGCTTTGTAGGTGTTTCACATTTAATATCTTACTCGTGTAACAGTTTTGGCACTTTATATGACTTTATGTTTTACCAAACCAACAGTAAAATAATTGTGCTTATAAAATATCGTCACACATATGATTTAAAACCTTCATGTGTGTTTATTTGTGTGTGTTTTTTCTCCTGTAAGGTGAAGTGAGTGTAAATGATGGAAATATCTGTGACGTTCCTCCTTGCTGGATGTCTGATACAAGGTCTCGCTCATATTAACTATTCTTGATTACTCTTATTAACTACTGATTAACTTAAAGCGAAAGCAGATTCATCTGAACTTTGAGAGATAAAGGAGAAATAAAAAATGTTTGTGAGCTAGATTTATTCAGCATGTTCACTGTGTTTGATGAGTTACTTTAGTGTTTGTGTTTGTTTCAGGTGTTTTATGTGGCTTCAGTATCAGTCTGCTGGAGAGAGTAGAAGCTCTAAAGGATCCTGTGTTTATATACCCTGCACATTCAATATTGATGAAGATTATAAAGATGACCTCACTGATACTGCAAAGAGATTATGGTATAAAGATGGAAAACCTGCAGTTTTGGTGTTTGACTCCAGCAGCCCTGACAGTGGACTCTTAACAGGAGAAATATTTGGCAAACCTACAGATAAAAGGTGCAGCACTCGCTTCTATAATCTCAAACTAACAGACAGTGGCTCATATTACTTAAGATTAGAAGGCAGCGGTAGACTTCAATATAACTACATGAAACCCCAACACTCTTGAAATTGTCGTCAAAGGTGAGTGTCATTGTTCACGCTGCTTCTGTCCACCTTATTTTTGATGAAAGAGGCTACCAGTGTTTCACTATTACAAAACAGCCTGCTGATGCTTTAACTTGCAAGCTGGTTATTGTTATTTTCCTAAATTCATCAATATTTATCTGTTCACTTGTTTATAAGTGTCTGTAATAACACTGTAAATATGCTTCATTTTTGAAGATTTATTTAGATAAAGAAGATTTTAAACATGAGCAGACTAATAATGTGATGCATTTATTTGTTAAAATTCAACAGTGTAACATGTAATTGCAATGTAAAACAGCAACAATGCTTTACTGAAATATGAAGAGTCTAATAAATTTAAATAGTGTTGGAGTATTTGAGTCATTTTTGGGTAAGTATTAACCAGTCTATCAGTGAGAGTATCTCAGTCTCATGTAAGTGTAAAGTAACCACCAGAGGACACCAAAGTACTATTTTATACCATTTAATAATAGCTACGTAATGTTTTAAACTTTTGCCTATATTTTTAATATCCTAATTGATGATTTTATTATTGTTAATATAATATTTTACATACGGCAACTATAATATATTTACTCAAACATGTCCTCTCTTCTAGTAGCCTAAAGTTACTGATTTGCTGCACTTTAATTCGATTAGCATACAAATGGATTTTATTAAATATTATTAATATAATCACAGTTGGACCGTGGTATTCATATAGATTATACGTGAATAATATTAACACAACTTATATTAGACAACACTGAACAACAACCTACATTATTAAAAATGTATTTTGTAAAATTGTGATATTGTGCTGGCATGCTAGCATGCTTGTGTTCCAGTTAACGTTACAGGGACCGGCCATCCTCTAGCTTGCCACAAATATGATGTCACCCGCGGAAAATGTCAGTAAACTAGCTAGTAAAAAGTTGGTGTTGATTTAAAACTGAGATATGTACATTTAATAACTGTTTGAACAGCACAAAAACGCATCTTTCTGCGCGTCCGTCAATCAAATCTCTCCGTGGGAAGATATAAAACGTAACACTATTTCCTATTGCGCGAATAACGTTTGCTACGTAATAAAGTTGTGTATTTTATCAAACAATATTCAGTTTTGCTAATGATGTAGCCACAAAGCTGCATTAGCTAGTGGCTGATAAGATATAATGATTTCTTTCGACCAATATTGCAAGTTAATGTGTGCATAAATCTGTTGTCAGACACAGTTCTGATATAAAAACGGAAATTCGAGATCATAAAGTGCGTCTGCAAGTCTTCACCCCTAAAACCGTTTCCGACCCCACCTACTATTCGCCTCCGGCAAGTTCAGACTGGTGGGACAAACTTTTGTTTGTTGCCATTGTTGCTCGTATCACGTCCTGACATCCTTCGGAGTGTTTCTGCGCGTGTTCGGGGCACTACAAATTGTTTATTTTGCATGTTAGTTTGATTTCTGCAGTGTTTTGTGGAGTTGACTTCACATCATGAGTGAAACTGAAGACAATGACATTCTTGAGGACTCTGATACAGATGGAGGAGACGTTGAGATGGCTGATATGAGTGAGTTTTAACGTCTATAAATCATTTCGAGGCTTTATTTAGGGATTAATCTCTTTAATAATTCAGAAAAAAATCTCGACTGTCACACTTTGTTTGTTTGTTTTGTTTGTTTGTTTTGCTTGTTTGTCGATGGAACAGGTGTTGATATGTTACAGTAGTATACTCTGCTTTCATTTCTTTATTAGTATTTTGTCTTATTTAGTTCTACAAATATCCCAAAATCAATATATTTGTACTTGAGAAGCAACATTATTTAAAATAATTATTTTTTTATTGAAGAGAGAATGTAAATTGAGTTTATTCTTCAAACATAACAGATATGTGTCAATGTGGGAAGTTTAACCCCTTTTTAAGTTAGTTTATTTTTCTACTCCACATAAGCACAAGCTCACTTTAGAGTATTTATTTTCAGAAATAAAAACGTAAGAAATTATGCTAATCAAGTAATTATTTCTTAGTTTAAGAATGTGGAAGGCTTAGTGGAAATATATAAAGCTGGACAAAAACGTTTTTAGATATGTAAGTTATGTGTTTCCAGAGAATACATGCAAGAGTGAAATCTCCCATTTGCCTGTCAGATTCAATACAATACAGCACTACATAACCTGAAAGACACGTTTCTCACACCCATCTTCTGAATAAACATCAAATCTCTGCCCTCATGCATGCGTTTATGTGTGTTTATTTTTTAATAAATCAATTATGTCAATTCTCACATTTGATTCAGCTTAATGTTTACTGTACAAATGGCAGAAGCATGCTTCAAACTATATTTAAATAAATTAATTAAGACTATATGTTTCTTTATTTAACCACATAAAAACCCATTGAGATTAAGATCTCATTTACAAGGGTGTCCTGGCCAAGAGGTCTGCAACACACGATTAATAATTAAATAAAACATAAATAAATAAAATGTAATAATATTAATAATAAATAGAAAATTAATATAATATAAAATACAGTTCAGTTTTCCAGCTTTACCACATTTTAATATACTAAAAACACATGCATTGAGAAATGGACTGTTGTTATTTGTGTTATTTTGTGTTGTTAAGACAATTATTTTAGTAACTGATTAATTTAGGGCTGGGCGATTTGGTCTAAAATCAAAACTTCGATTAATTGAACATTTTAACTCGATTACGATTAACAAACAATTCTTTTTTATTTGTTTATTTAATTTTTTTACCCTCATACTTCATGAACAAGTTTTGTACGGTAGAAATGCTCACTTTGAATGAAGGGTACATTTTTTTAAAAATAGTTGAAGGAAACACACACTATCTACTATCTATGATCATTTATTGAACATTAAGGTTGAACACCTGAAATTAGACACCTGTTGCCTAAAACCAACAGTCCCATTTTTCTTATAAAAAAGTGAAAATGAGTACCCTGCACTTTTGTAAACAAAATTAAATATTTTTAATGTTTTTCATATTAAAAGTCATATTCACAGGGTCGCGTGACTCCACATGTGGTAGGGAAAGTGATTGAAATAATTGACCTGGAAAAATTTGATCAATTATAGGCTCTCAATGTCGATTACGATTATTTTTTGCCCAGCCCTACTTTTAATTGTATTGCTATTTTAATGTAAGAACTGCATAGAGATCGTGTAAACAATATTAAAAGTATTTAATGCTAAGTTATCTCAGTACCACATTTATAAATATGTTGCATTTTGCTGTAACTATACCACAAACATGCTACAGACAATATTAATATTTGTTATTAGGGCTAAATTGTGACAATTTCTACTTGCATTTATTTGCTTTAGTGTAAAAATACTCTTAAAAACTTTAAATAGAATATATTAATGCTAAATTGTTTTTAGTGATGGAGCATTTTTTGTTTGAACTGCATACACATTCTACAAAGCATATTAAAGGTTATTAGTGATCAATTATATCAGTTCCTACATTTAACTACATTGAGTTTTACTTTAAGAGCATTTAAATATGACACAATTATTAATATTTGTTATTAATGCTGCATTATGCTAGTTATTACTTTCAGTTTGGTTGTATTTTACTGTTAAAACATCTTAACACTCATTAAAACTTTAAAATAAAATATATTAATGCTAAATTGTTTAGTGATAGTGCATTTTAACTGCACACACATTGTACAAACAATATTAAAGGTTATCAGTGATAAACTATATCAGTTCCTACGTTTAAATACATTGAGTTTTACTTTTTGGAGCATTTAAATATGACACAAATATTATTATTTCTTATTAAAGCTAAATTATGCCAGTTAATACTTTCAGTTGGTTTGTAATTTCCTGTAATAACATCTTAATACTCATCAAAACTTTAAATAGAATTTATTAAGGTTAAATTATGTGCATTTTAACTGCATACACATTCTACAAACAATATTAAAGGTTATTAGTGCTCAATTCTACCAGTTCCTACATTTAAATACATTGCATATTAATTTATGAGCATTTAAATATGACACAATTATAAATATTTTTTATTAATGCTAAATTATGCCAGTTCTTACTTTCAGTTTGGTCGCATTTTACTGTAATAACATCTTAATAGTCATAAAAATATTGTATGACCAGCATTTACTGCTACAAATATTATTTATAAACAAATATATCAGTTCTTGCATGTAAATAAATTGAGTTTTACTCGAAGAACTGCATAATAAACATGCTACAATTAACAAAAATTGAACGTTAGTCAATGTATGACTGTTTATTAACCCAAATGTTTAATGTTATTGTTGCATTTCACTGTATAGAGCTGTATAAACATGCCACAAGCAATATTAAATGTAAAAATTATGCTAAATTATGTCAGTTCCCAACTTCCCATAATTGAATGCTAAATCAAATATATTTGAATTATATTACACATATGGTAGCGGGTTCATTCCGCTGTGGCGACCCCTGATTAACAAAGGGACTAAGCTGAAGAGAAAATGAATGACTGAATTGCACATATGGTGTCAAGTTAATAGCACAGAACACACACATATAGACACATTTTATATGCATCTCCTTTATATTGATTGTCTGCTTTATCAGCCCTGCAGGTCTGTTGTATTCATCAGCTGGAGTGTTTTTAGGATAATTCTGCGTTCTTTATAAAGTCAGTCAGATTTTCCTCTTCTTGAGATGGGTTTTCCTTGCGCAGGCTGTTTTCAGGCTGTTGCTATAGTCTTTTTCCACTTGGACAACATCTGACTTGGATTAATGTTTTCCCATGATGCTTTGCTCAGTGGGTTTGCTTTGGTTGGGCTTTCCCTTCACTGTGAGTAAACATTAAATCAGAGAATCACAAAGACTGTTGGAGGGTAGTGAGGTTTGAGGCTTTATGACTGTCGAGTTGGTTATGTAAAGCATGCAAATGTGTTACTAATAAGGGCTGCAAGATACTGGAAAAAAAACTGGCATTGCAATATACAGTCTAGCCTGATATTATTCATACCCCTGACTGACTTAAATTCTGACTTGGTTACTTTTATTTTTTTACCTGAAATGGCACATGCTTTTACCTAAAGATAATAAGATGATGTACAAGAGGCTTTATTGTGATATATATTTATTTATTTTTAGTTATTTATTTATTTTTCTCTACATTTATTTACATTTGAATGAAAACTTTGGATCAGAATTTGCCAGGGGTATTAATTAATTTGTGCTTGACTGCATGCTGTGATATTAATGTAACGTAAAATGCTATTTTAAATTCGTAATTTTACACTGTGATCATTTTAATGTAATGAAAATGTAATCAAATGTATGATAACACCATATAGTCTTCATCATTGTAATAAAAATGCAACAAATCCTTGTTAAAACTACATATTTTATGATTTCTATGTGCCCAAATGGTTTAAATATGCTTGAAATCTTTCATTGTAAAAAATGTTATGATCAATTAGTCATGACAAAATATGTTTTAGCTAATTGTAACTTATTAAACTAAGTTAATCATGTCCTAACTTAATTGTATAAGTTATGCAAGCTGTTTTAAGTGGGTTTAATATAATATGAGTTCAAATTACTTATAGGATTATTTTTATTCAGCTTGAAAGTTTAAGGCAATGGCTTATGGAACTTTTACAACCATTGACCTTAAAAATATGATTTACTGTAAGAGGTTGTACTGATATGTTTTTTCTTACTTGACAACCTGTTTTAATTTTCCTTATTTCTTATTATTTTATTAATATTATTATTTATTTGTATTTCATTTTAGGCTTATATAATATAAATATATAAATATATATTATATATATAAGAGATGCTATTTACACAATATAGAAACATAAAGTATGGTAGACACTATTTCCACTCAGTGCTAATAGAAAGCATATGCTATTTACACTGTGTTACACTCAGTGTTACTAAAAGTATGATACACTTTACACTAAGACTTGCTATATAGACAATTTTAATAAGTGGCTTATGCCATTTATAGTTAAGATGGTATTTAATATATATATATATATATATATATATATATATATATATATATATATATATATATATATATATATATATATATATATATATATATATATATATATATATTGTTCATGAATTTTTATAGAAACTGTATGGATATGTGTGCAATGGCTTTTGTTTATTTGTTGGCTAAAAAAAAAAAAGATAAAGTGAAAAGCTATTTGCATGTTTCATATCTAACATGTTCAATAAAAACACTTTTGAGAAATAAAAAGTAAGGCAACCAGTATATTTTTTACCATGTAGAGCAGGGGTCAGCGTCCCTGTTCCTGTTGATCTACCTTCCTGCAGCTTTCAGTTGTAACTCATATCAAACACACCTGCTTGTAATTATCAAATGCTGTTCAGGTCCTAATTAATTGGTTCATGTGTGCTTGATCAGGGATGGAGCTAAACTTGGCAGGAAGGGAGATCTCCAGAAACACTGAGCACCCCTGGTTTAGAGAGTCACATACCTTAAAAATACCTTTGTTCACTCTGTCAGGGTAAACACTGTCCTGGTTAGTTGTAATCATAGCTTAACATTGCATTTGCAGATGATCATTGTTGGCAAATGCTCCCACTGCATGTTTGATCACAGTAAGTTGTGCTTCACAGTTGTATGTTTTCTTTTGTTGTAATATTTTGTGTTTTTTTCTTCTCAGTCGACTCTAAGACGGTGCAAACATGCAGAACTATGCCAAAAGGTTCAGATGTGCCAATAGTGGGTTTGTTTCTTTTCTGTACACCTTGATAAATGTTTAAATAAAATGCATTACATTTGTTAATCTAAGTAATTTATTAGCTTCGGTAAGTTAATTAGAAAACACGGTGGCTCAGCGGTTAGCACTGTCACCTCATAGCAAGAAGGTCACTGGTTTGTGTCCCGACTGGGCCAGTTAACATTTAAATGTGTAGTTTGCAAGTTCTCACCGTGTTGGCATGGGTTTCCTCTGGTTGCACCGGTTTCCCCTACAGTCCAAACAATTGCGCTATAGGGGAGCTGATGAACTAAACTGGTAAAAATGTATGAATGTGTGTGTAAATGAGTGTGTATGGATGTTTCCCTGTATTGGGTTGCAGCTGGAAGGGCATCCGCTGTGTAAAACATTTGCTGGCATTTATTTATCATAGTTACCATTTACTAATGTATAATTAAAATGCAAATTCATGCTTGTTAACATTAAATGCACAGAGAATTAGCATGAACTAACTGCTGTATTTTCATTAACTAATGTTAACAAACATGAACAAATACTGTAATAAATGTATTGTTAATTGTTTATGTTAGTAAATACATTAACTAACATTAATGCAACCTTATTGCAAAGTGTTGCTAAAGTACAATAATACAAACAAAATCAATTGCATTCTAAAATAAAAACCAAAAAATAAAATCCAATGACAATAAAATATATAGAAGTTTCTATAATGTGTTTAATAAATTGTTCTCAGCTCTTTTATTGCGTTTTTATGAGTTCAGTGTGTTGTGTTTGCAGGTGGATTTCAATGGGAACCAGGACTTTCTGTTTTTCAATGATGGAAAGCGAAGGATCGACTTTGTTTTGGTGTATGAATATGAAGAGTCTAAAAATGGATCCAACAAAAAAGCCTCAGTTATAAGAAGAAAAGTAAGTGGAGGTTTAATCTTTAATTAATAAACTGAAGGAGTGACAGATGAAAACTAATGATATCTCTAAAGCATAGGTCCCAATCTCAACTGCTGGAGGTTTTGCTCCAGCCCTAATCAAACACAGCTGATCCAAGAATACTATTGTCTAGTAGACCTTGATAAGTTGCATCACCTTGATTAGTTGGATCAGCTGTGTTTGATTAGGGTTGAAGCAGGCTGTGAGTTTGAGAACTATGATCTAAACTATAATGAAATTGAATGAAATCCAGATTGATTTTTTATATAAATAAAAATAACGCTGTAATGTCTTCTAATATTGTTGTAGTTTATCTTCTTTTCAAGTTTTGTTTTTTTCAAGTTTTGTTTAGCAAAAATACGTTTAACTTCTTACCAAGTTTAATGCCTAAATGAGTAAGTAATTAGAAAGTGACCTCTATATATATTAAAAAATAAAATTACACAATTAATTAATCATAATAATGTAATTACACATTACAAACAGACATGTTAATGTCAAATAAATATGTAAAAAGATAAATAAAAAAATATACTGATACTCCAATATTTAATAATAATGATATATATATATATATAAACTATAATAATACCTCTAATCTGTAATTATATAATTAATAAAATCCAGATTGATTTTAATATAAAAATAAGATTTTTTTTAATGTCTTTTAATATTGCTATTATTTTTTTATTCTTTACAGTATGTATTTGGTTATGAAAAATGCTTTTCATTTCTTGCCGACTTAAATCCCTAAATTTATAATTAATTAGAAATATGGTCATTTAGAGAAACTTAATAATTTTATTTAAAGTGGCCTCTTTTATATATTAAAAATAAAATACAAAATTAATTAATCACAATAATGTAATTACACATTACATAAATATATGCTAATGTCAAATAAATATGTAAAAAAAAAATCCTGATGCTTCTATATATAATAGTTATTATATATAGAAACTATAATACTATAATATAAAACTATAATAAAGCAAAAATACTTTTAACTTCTTACCAAGTTTATTGCCCAAATGAGTAAGTAATCAGAAAGTGACCTCTATATATATTAAAAAATAAAATTACACAATTAATTAATCATAATAATGTAATTACACATTACACCTCTAAACTGTTATGATATAATGAATAAAATTCAGATTGATTTTAATATAAAAGTAACACAGATTTCTTTTCTTTACCATAAAGATTTGGTTAACAAAAATGATACATTTCATTTCTTGCCAATTTTAATGCTTGAATTATTAAATGATTAGAAACATTATAATAACAAAATAATCACAATAATGTAATTACACATTACAGAAATAAAAATGTCAAAAAAAGTTAAAAATATACTGATACCTCTATATATGATGATAATAATAATGATATATAAAAACTAAAATAATACCTCTTAGCTCTTTTCTATAATGATAAGGTGAATAAAATCCAGATTGAGTAACACTGATTTGTAATGAATTCCAACATTGCTATTATTTCTGTTCTTTACAATAAATGTTTAGTTAGCAAAAGTATTTTTCATTATTGCAAACTTTAATCCTTAAATAATTAAATTATTAGGAATATTATAATTACTAAATTAATCACAATAATGTAGCACATTACAGAAATAAAAAAAGTTTAATAAACTTATATAAATGATAATAATAATGATATAAAACTGCAATAATACATAGAATATAATTAAGTCAGATTGATTTTAATATAAAAGAAACATAGATTTTTTTTTTTATGTCTTATTTTAATTTCTTGCCAACATTAATCTCTAAAGTAAAAATAAAAAGCCTGACTGGCTTACATGTTTTCTTGTGAATTTGGAGTGAGGAAAATTGACCCACATTATTCTCAGTTCCTTTATCACTAAATCTCACGTGTAACACAATCCCAGATGCTTTCTTTATCTACACAGATCATGCATGCTTCAAAGCCATCAGGTTTTATCTGCAAACTTTATCTCTTTCATTCTCCAGAAAAGGCGAAGAGAGTTTTTCGAAGGAAGCCTGATGAATAAGGGATTGCATCTGGAAATGACACAATCCGTAAGTGGTTTGAAACACTTCCCATAAAGAGGTTTCTCCGCTCAGAAACATGAGACTTTGAGTTCCTGTTTCTTCAGTTTTCTGCAGTGTATACAAGTTTCATCACCATTACGTATGAATTATACATATGCTGATGTACAACAATTCAATATATCAGGAAAATGAACGCATACGATATTAATATTGTCATGATCTCTGTTGGTAAACTATGACTTGTAGCAGTAAAATAAAAAGCAGATTCAGCTCGTGCAGTCCTACATTTAGAAATAACACACTGTCCTCTGGTTGCCCAGAATAATGCCAATGCTCCTAATATGGCAGTAAAACAAATAGAAGTGGGGTTTTTTACCCTAACTTGCCTATTTAACCTAGTTAACCTAGTATAGTTAATACTAGTGTCTTGAAAAATATCTAGTCAAATATTACGTGCTGTCATCATGGCAAAGAGAAAAGAAATGAGTTATTAGAAATGAGTTATTACAACTATTATGTTTAGAAATGTGTTAAAAAAAACTCTGTTAAACAGAAATTGGGAGATAAAATGTAACAGGAGGGCTAATAAATCTGACATCTACTGTAAATATATGAATGCATTAAAATGCTTCAGTTGGTATCGGCAAAATCATAGGAGGGATTCTTTTAAAGGAGTCTTGTTTGAGCTTGTTGGCCTGATGAGCAGGAACTCTATTGTTATTTTCTGCACAATACACTTCATTTCCTATGAAACTGATGGGGGTTTCCTCTTGTTTCTTTCACAGGTAGTGGATGAGAAGCTTTTCTTTGTGAAATTGCACATGCCGTTCGATGTTCTGTGTGCAAATGCTGAAGTCCTGCATATTAAACTGCCCATCAAATGCAATGACCTCCGTACACAATCCTCCAAGCACAACTGCTGCACTAAACCATTCTACCCTAATGAGGACGTGATTGGCAAAGAGCCGGACTACTTCACGGCGCCCTTCAGGAAAGATCTGCTCAACCGTTTTCAGCTAAAGGAAAGAGAGGGCAGGGAGTTATTTACACCGACCATGAGGAGCAGAATGGTGGGTGTAGTAGAGTATTGTTTTAAATGCTCAATAGTACAGTACATCATGATGAACTTGCATGAGATTGTTATCATGGGTGCTTTAAAGCACCTTGAAAATGTAATTTAATTTAATCTATTTACAGTGTTTACTTTGATAGCACGTGATGTTAATCTTAAAGTAAAAAATCCTTGCAATTTTTTGTTTTGGTTATTTTTAATTTAAAATCCGGACTCATGCTGGAATGAAACCCGCCCCCTACTCAATATTCAGTAAGATATATGTCATCCTACTGAAATTAAACTCCGCCCCCTACTCAATATTCATTTTCAGTGGGAAATGCATCATCATATTTAAATAAAACCCGGCCCTGCTCAATATTTAGTTTCAGTGGCAAATGCATCATCATACTTAAATAAAACCCCGCCCATACTCAATATTTAGTTTCAGTTGCAAATACATCATCATACTAAAATGAAACCCCGCCCCCTACTCAATGTTCAGTTTCAGTAAGAAATGTATTTTCATGCTGGGATAAACCCCGCCTCCTACTTAATATTCAGTTTCAGTGGGAAATACATCATACTGAAATAAAACCCCACCCCCTACTCAATATTCTGTTTTAGTTGCTAATACATCATCATGCTGGAATTAAACCCCACCCCCTACTCAATATTCAGTTTCAGTTGGAAATGCATCATCATACTGGAATAAAACTCTGCCCCCTACTCAATATTCAGTAAGAAATACGTCATCATACTGCAATTAAACTCCACCCCTACTCAATATTCAATTTTAGTTTGAAATCTGTCATCATACTGATATAAAGCCCACCCCTACTCAATATTCATGTTTTAGTTGAAAATACATCATCATACTGAGATGAACCCCGCCCCCTACTCAATATTCATGTTTTAGTTGAAAATACATCATCATACTGGGATAAACTCCGCCCTTACTCAATATTAATTTATGGTTTTCAAACGCATCATCATACTGAAATTAAACCCCGCCCCTACTCAATATTTATGATTCACTTGAAAATACATCATTATACTTAAATAAAACCCCGCCCCCTACTCTATTTATGTTTCACTTGAAAATACATCATCTTTCTGAAATAAAACCCCGCCCCCTACTCATGCAGAGGATATTGATTGCTAATGCGCAGACCATTTATTGGTCAAATGTTCATCACAAAATGTACAATTAGGCTCCATTTGTCAACAATAGTTAATTTAACTGAACTAATGTTAATGCTTGATGCATTAGCTGATGTTCACTAATGAGGCATGATTGTAAAGTGTTTCCTGTGGCACTTTATAATGCTTTTTGAAATGAAATAGCAGTTATATACAATAAAGCACTACACAAAATAGATGGTTTACTATCATTATACCTACTAAAGTAACCTTCTTTTGCAGTTTAGGTCAATATTATTATAATACAGTATATTGTGGTAAATGCTTCAGCAAGTATGTTAAAAATCTGATGCCTGTGGCTTCCTGATATGCATTTTTGCAGGTGTATTATATCCTCAGCCGAGCAGAGTATGATATAAAAGGAGAAAATAAGAAGTTTGGGATCACAAAGCTGCTTGCTGGAGGCATCTATAAGGCTGCGTATCCATTACATGACGTGAGTAACTTCAGTGTGTGTGTGTGTGTGTGTGTGTGTGTGTGTGTGTGTGTATAACGTAAAAATGCCATCATGCATGATTAATTAGAGCCATGTTATTATCATTTACTAAAGCAGGAAAAACTAAAGCTAAACTTGCTATGAACTAATATATAAGTTTATGCTGGAATTACTAACTCGAAAAAACTGAAATTAAAGATTTAAGCATAAATAATAATGTACATTGTGACATTTACATATTTTTGTATGTCTATGTTTTTTCCTTTGTCTATATTTCTGTAATGCGTTTTTATTTAACTTCTAATCATGCCATGTTAAGCTAAAGGGGAAAAAAAGACAAGCAAATATTATGAGAAAGTATTTTTGGGAAAGTGCTTAATTTATTTTATTTTAAAAGCAATGCAAATGTCATTGTTTTATTTAATTCAGCTATCTAATATTACAGCAAATGTTTCATACATGTTATTATATAGTAATAATTTTGGATTTATTTTGTTGGAAAGCTGGAATGACTAAAGCTAAACAAATAATTTAAATGTTGCCTTGTCTACTAACTAAAAAAAAAAACTTAAGTAAAAAATTTAAAAACATGTAAAATAAAATATAGAATGTAAATAATATTAATCTTATATATATATATATATATATATATATATATATATATATATATATATATATTACTCTTGTAATAAGTCAGGGTACAGCGTTGTTGAGGATCCAAATGCAGTTTATTAAGAAAATTGTCAAGTAGGCAAAGGTCAAAACAGATAATTCAAAAGCGTAGTGAGAATACAGGCGAATGGTCGAGACAGGCGGCTGTGTTTATGTATGTTCCATCTGACTATTAACACCTTCAGCTGTGTGTGTTTGCAATCAAGGGGAATCTGGGCCCGGTGTGTGGGTGAAATGCTAGATTGCTAGTGATCGTGACAACTCTAATTGATGTATAGTAATATATTAGTAAAATATAATAAATATATATTTGAGATTAATTTTATTTACATTCTGAACGTTATTATTAAATGTCATTTAAATAGACAAATGGTCTATTCGATGTGTTGTGACATGTATTTATTGTGAATATACTTTTTTTTTTATTGTAACTTTTTCCTATGCTGCCTGTCTTGACCAGGACTCCCTGGTGGAAGAGTGATTGTATCTCAATGGGAAATTCCTGGTCAAACAATTAAATAAAAAATATATATATTCACTAATTTCCATAAAATCATATTGCTAAATGCTGCCAAAAATTTGAAAAGTTTTTGCAGAGTTTTTGCAGAGTTGCTATTTAAATTCGGATTGAGATAAATAAAATAATAAATGTTCTTTTCTTGATTATTGCTTACTGCAGAAACTCTTTATTATATTATATTTGTTGCTTGTGTAATGCTTAATTTGACAAATTAACTTTTACTTTAAAATTTCTATAAATAAATTTGTAGAACATATTAAGAAACATTAAAGGTTATTCTTTTTAAGAAGATTTATGCACATTAATTCTAAATAACATTCTTTTCAAGAATTTTGAAGTGTTCCAAAAATATCAAAGGTTTTGCATTAAAAGATGAAACACTTTGGAATTCTAAATATTCTAAAATAAATTCAAACAAGAACAAAATGGCAGTTGGTAGAATTCTATTCTCTAGAATGTTGTTGTGAATGTGAAGCCAGAACTGTTGATGGAAATGCTGTGCAGTGTTATTGTGGTCGTTGCTGTAATTTGCAGGTGGTGGAAAAAGATGAACTCTTGACGTTTCTCTTTCACTCAGACGTTAAAACCACCAAAGATATCATCCAACCTGTTGTTTTAGATATGAGATCTGGATGTGGGTTTTGCAGTAGATGTGTGAGAACTAAACAGTTTTTGCTGGTGTTTTTGTGGTGCAACAGTGCAGGTTTAATGTGAAGTCTAAAGAGGAGGACTGTCCCAATGAGCGTTATCTGCTGTACAGTGAGTGGGCGCATCCTAAAAACTTCTACAAGATGCAGCCGCTGGACCTGATCAGGTGTGTTGTCTACATATAATAACACATGCATCACACAGTTAAAGTTAGAATTATTAGTTCTCTTGAATTATTAACCCCCTTGAATATTTTCCCCATTTTCTGTTAAACAGAGAGATTATTTTCGACACATTTCTAAGCATGCGTTTTAATAACTCATTTCTAATAGCTGATTTCTTTTATCTTTGCCATGATGACAGTAAATAATATTTGACTAGATATTCTTTAAGACACTAGTATTCAGCTTAAAGTGACATTTAAAGGCTTAACTTTAACTTTTAATTAATTAGGGTAAAGTTAAGATAATTAGACAAGTCATTGTATAACAGTGGTTTGTTCTGAAGACAATGCAAAATATATTGCTTAAAGGGACTAATAACATTGACCTTAAAATGTGTTTTTTTTATTAAAAACATCTTTAATTCTAGCCGAAATAAAACAAATAAGACTTTCTGCAGACGAAAAAATATTATAGAAAATACTGTGAAAAATTCCTGAATCTGTTCAACATAATTTGGAAAACGACAATTCTTATAATAATTATTCTTAATTGTTTTTTCATAATCATATAGACAAATTTTAATTAATAAAGACTTTTAAAGAAATATATATTTTTATATGTCTGTAAATTTTACTGTTGATGTTATTTTCATATATCTGCTTATTTTAGATTTTATTTTTAATCATGTCAGTATGTCATGTTAAGCCAGCGGTGTCCAAACTCTGACCTTGAGGTCCAGTGTCCTGCAGATTTTAGCTTTAACCTGCCTCAACACACCTGCAAGATGTTTCTAGTGAGTCTAGTAAAGCTGAGGTCACACTGCACTTTTCTCCCTAAAGACTTTCGGAAACGCAAGCTCATGCCACAAGTTTCGCAGTTTACTGCGTTGGAAAGTTCAAGCTTGGTGAACTTTGACCTATAGAATCGCATCACATGATTGCATGAGAGCAATCAAAGATCAAAACATGACCTCCCTGGACAGAAATGTAAAATATGGAGCAATCGCTCGCTTTTTTAAATGTCTAATCATCTTGTTTAATCCCGGCTCTTTTCGCAGCACCATACTACAGAATTTGACAAGGGCTGTGTTTCTCAATATGCGTTCTTTAGCAGTCTTGCGTCCTCGTGTTCTCATGTAACGTCATCATCAGCTGCCAAAGTTGAGTTACAATACTCAAGACCGCAAGAACAGAGGACGCGTGAAACTTCCCGGATGTGATCTTGATATCGAGGATGCATCGATGCAGACTTAAGCACCGAACTCGCGCTTGAAGTCCCAGAAGTCATTGCAACCGGATGTGGGAAACACAGCATTTCATATAGATTTATTATTAAAGTTCAGAGATATAAATGATTTGCCTCAGGAGTTTCCCTAAATGAAACGGTGAATATAAACATCACCATGGACATCTTAATAAAGGATTAAACACATTAAGGGTGTTTGTTTGCTGCAATTCAAATTAAAATTATTTATATTGTGCCACACATATTTAAAATGTTTTTATGCACAGTATATATTTTGAAAAGGGGAAAAACAATAAATGGTTGTATGAACGCTGTAATGTTTAAATCATTTTCCATTTAAAGCACGTGAAGGTCATTTGACCATCCGGAAGAATGCAGCATCTCATTTCTCACCGGACGCTTTCTCTGATCTCAAGGTCTCCTGAGTTCATTCTTCCGAAGACACCTGGGAAGACCGATCTATAAAAGAACATAAGTCCCTTCTCTGCGTTCTTGGAATTGAGAAACAGCCAAGCTCAAACTCTAGTGTGACCGCAGCTCAAGGCCTTGATTAGCTAGCTCAGGTGTCACTGATTGTGGTTGGAACTTTGCAGGTGTGTTGGAGGTTTGGACAGCTCTGTGTTAAGCTAATAGAAAATAGGAACTTTTTGGCAAAGCAGTTGGAATAAAACAAAGTTCATATTGATTTTATTTTTCGTCAAAAGATAATTGTCATTATTTAACTCAGTTTAGCTATAGCTGTCTAATAATACAGCAAATATTTTACTAAATATCAGTAATATTTTTACCTTTTTAACTCATTGCTTCCTTGTTAGAGTAAAAGCATCCACTGATGGCATAAATATGAAAACATTTTAGTTGACTGTTCATCTGTGCTTTCAGGAAGTATTTCGGTGAGAAAATCGGCATTTATTTCGCCTGGTTGGGTTTCTACACGTTCATGTTGAGCCTCGCTGCTGCGTTCGGACTCGGCTGTTTCATATACGGGTACAGAAGCAGAGAGAGCAGCACATGGAGGTACAACAATACACAATGCTGAAAAGCTCTGATAACATTCAGAATATATGTTTACAAAAGCACAGTTTGTCTAGTGCCTTCTTTTGGATCTGAAACCGACTATTTGCTCATACATCAGTAACAACTTGTAAAACTATTTGAACTATGAAGCATGTTTATGTGATTGTGTTTTCTCAGTCGTAATTCAGAGTTTTGTGATAGATTCAGTATGGCCCAGGTTTCATTTTTTACATCAAATTGTTTAAATAGCAAATTACTATTTTTCTATTATTATTTTATTTGCTATTATTTCTATTATTATATTATATAGTATTATATTATTTTATTATATTATATAGTATTAATATCTATTATTATTTCTATTATTATTATTATTTTCTATTTCTATTATAATTATATTATTATTCTATGATGCTATATATTATTAATATATATTATTATTATTTTCTATTATTATTGTATTATTATTATTATTATTATTATATTATATATTATTAATATCTATTATTATTTCTATTATTATTATTATTATTTTCTATTTCTATTATAATTATATTATTATTATTCTATGATGTTATATATTATTAATATCTATTATTTTTTTCTATTATTATTGTATTATTATTATTATTATTATTATATTATATATTATTAATATCTATTATTATTTATATTATTATTATTATTATTATTATTATTATTATTATTATTATTATTATTATTTTCTATTGTTTCTTTTATTATTTCTATTATTATTATTATTTTCTATTTCTATTATTATTATTATATTATTTGTTATTATATTATTATGTTATATATTATTAAAATCTATTATTATTTCTATTATTATTGTTATTTTCTATTTCTATTATTATTATTATTATTATATTATATATTATTAATATCTATTATTATTTATATTATTATTATTATTATTATTATTATTTTCTATTGTTTCTTTTATTATTTCTATTATTATTATTATTTTCTATTTCTATTATTATTATTATATTATTTGTTATTATATTATTATTATAATATATTATTAAAATCTATTATTATTTCTATTATTATTATTATTTTCTATTTCTATTATTATTATATTATGTTATGTATTATTAATATCTATTATTATTTTTTCTATTATTGTATTATTATTATTATTATTAATATCTATTATTATTTCTATTTTTATTATTATTTTCTATTATTTCTATTATTATTATTATTTTCAATTATTTCTATTATTATTATTATTTTCTATTATTTCTATCATTATTGTAGTGCTATAGACACTTACAGAACATTTTGGCAAGCATATACAAATCCTACACATTTTACTTGTGCATACAAAATTAATTGAATATTTCCTTCTATGATTATTGAATGTGAGTATTTACATACAGATAAATATAAAGAGCAAATTCCTTTGTGCACTTATGGGCATGCTGGTCTGAAATTGAAGTGTGTGAAGGCTCGTTACTATTTTGAGGCAACTTAAATAGATCAACTAAAAGCTGGCCTGAAGTCAATGACACAGGACTTTATTTGTTATTTAAAGAGTGTAATAGTGTTATGCACTAATGTGGGTACAAAATACACGTACACATTGCTTATTACACACACATGGATGCACGGCACTACACATATAGCTGGTAATATGAAAAATGAAGGGATCATAATGTAAAAAAATATCTTATTGTCTACACCACAAGTGTCAAATCCAGTTCCTGGAGGGCCGCAGCTCTGCATAGTTTAGTTCCAACCCTTCTTCAACACACTTACCTGTAGGTTTCAAACAAGCCTGAAGGACTTAATTAGTCTCATCAGGTGTGATTATTTAGGGTTAAAGCTAAACTGTGCAGAGCTGCGGCCCTCCAGGAACTGGATTTGACACTTGTGTTCTACACAAATACAACAACCATTATACACCTCCAGCATGTCTTTCACCTCTGAGGGCTTTGGTGGAATTCGGCTCTTTTGTATTCAGCATATTAATGGCATTTTTCATGTGTTTAATGTTGTTTTTGGTAGTAGTATTTATTTTGTGCATATTTATATATGCTTTTTTTCATTTTATGATTAGATTTGTCAACTTCTGTCCGGTTTTAGAGACGTATGCGTTATGTTTGGATGTAACATGGATATGCTTGCTTTTTTTGACAACACCTATTGCTCTATTATTGTTCATTTATTAATTATCTGGAAATTAGAACTGAATTTAGGAGTCATTTTGAAACAAATATTTGCACAAAAACCTACACATTAAATATGAAATGCATGTAATCACCATTAATCCACATATAGTTTTTCAGTTTTAAGCAAAAATAATATCACTAGTGTACTTTTTCTCACCATTAAAACTGGCCAAAGAAGCTTGCTCGGTGTTAAACACAAACAAACAAACTAACCAAATGTTATAACATGTGCCCTATTGTTAATGTTATTTTTAATGATGATTTTTACTTAGAGATGCTTTAAAGGAGATGTTTTTAAATGCGAGTCCTTCTATCAAAAGTTTTAAATTCCTAATTTATATATTATTTAGTGCTGTTGATTTCTTTTTATCGTTATTAACCTTTTTTTATAGAACAGTGATGTTTGTATATTTATAAATCTATATATAAAATGTCTGTAAATTTGATCTGTTTTTGCCATGACATAGCCAGAGAAGCTGATAACACAATGAACTCAAAAGCATGTGTGTGACTGATTATGACTGTGTGTTTGTCCAGCAAAGAGGTGTGTGACCCTGATATTGGTGGACAGATTGTCATGTGCCCGCAGTGTGATAATAACTGTCCGTATTGGCGACTCAACACCACGTGCGAGTCCTCGAAAGTGAGTATTTCAGTAGAAAACAGGCACTAAAATTAATACTAAAAAAAAAAAACAAAGGAAAACAAGATTTACTCTAACATGATCTTATTCGTAAATACTCTAGTTATAATATTTTTATTTAAACTTTGTAGTTTGTAGTCCATTAGATATTATAGATTATAACATTCCACTCAAGAGCATGTTGACATGTTAACAATGTTCAAGTGGTGTCTTAATCTTTCCATAGCTATACTGCTAAGGTCAATATTATTAGCCCCTTAAAATATCTTTCTTTTTTGTTTGACTTCTTGCCTAGTTTACCTAATTAACCTAGTTAAGTTATTGGAAGTTATTAAAGCTATCATGCTTAGAAATTTATTAAAACTAAATGTATTTAAACTAAATTAAACAGCACTTAAGACATTTTTAAAGAAGAATAAAAAGTTGACAGCTAATATTTTTGTCTTTAACTGTATGTATATATACAGTTACAGTATGTATGTATTTATGTATGTATGTATGTATATATATATATATATATATATATATATATATATATATATATATATATATATATATATATATATATATATATGGAAATAATTATATCAAATACTTACAAAATTTTTGACATTACACATGGCCAACACCAAACAAGCTGTGATGCACGATACATACTCTTATATACATGCACACTTATATACAAGTAATTTATAATAATAATATATTGCAATATATACATATACATAATTTTGAGTATTTTCTTTGCCATTATGTGCTCTACCTCACACTTTGGTGCTTGGTGTTTCATATAAAATGCTAGTAAATATCAACCAGCTCATGTGAGAGTTAAAAAACACATCCACGCAACTCTAAATAATTTATGCCTGTGCCTCCTGACATTCATTTTCTTTTGTTTCTGTTGTTGTTTCTGTTGTTTTTAACACCCTTAAAGGGCCGCTAGCTGTTCATTTGGCTTATAAATCATCATCATAATTCATGCTTTGAGCTAAATATCAACAGCAATGTTTTGGGTGAGCTATTCATCTAGGGTACATTAGTTTTTATGAAGAGTTTCATCATGGATTCAGTATGTTAAAAGATTGTGACAGTCCCAGAGTCTATATTCTGCTTCCAATGAAATGCATCCTATTGTGGTTTTGTGGTGGAAAACAGAGTGATGTAAACTTTTAAAATACACCCTCACTGCAACACTTCACACACACAAACATCTCAGCTGTCTGCACACCCACCGTCTGCTCTGGAGGATTTTCGGATTTAACGTCTGATCTTGGATTTGACTTGTGAAACTCTCTGTTTGCTGATAATGCGTTTCTGTGTTTGCTTTCCTCCGCAGAGGCTGTGTGTGTTTGATAACTTTGGGACTTTAGTGTTTGCTGTCTTCATGTCTGTTTGGGGTGAGTGATGATGTCATATGCTGGTCACATGGCCACTTGCGCAGTTTAACCGTAATCCTAGTGTGGTGCCGATAAAATTTTAACTATTGGCAAAACGCCTGCTCCATATTGCAGATTATTACAAGACTCTTAATGCAACGTGATTCATTGTGTTTTTATTGCAACATTAAGGTGCACTGCAGGAACGTATTTGTAGCTTGCTGATGCAATATGTTAAATCAAATAAAAGAACTAAAAAAATGTACAGAAACAACAACATGAGAAAAAATTTAATAAAAAATAAATAAAAAATAATAACTAAATAACACCGGAACGTATTTTATAATAATTGTCATATTATATTATATTAATGCTTTATATTATGGAATATTAGAATAATGTTATTGACATCAAACATTGTATCTGTTGATGTTATAAAATTTTTAACTATTTAGTTATTATAAAATTGTGTTTTTATTATCCAATTTTATCAAAGATTAATAAATAATCTATTATACCAATTAAAGAATCAGTAATTAGTTTTAGAGAAATATACATTTTAGCATTAGTTGGGAGTGCTTTGGTATTATTTTTGTGTAATGGTTAGAATGTAGATTAGGTTGAGGGTTGGTTTAACTAAAATAAACTATAGTTTTATATATATATATATATAAATTAATTTCATCTACATCAGTGGTCTCAAACTCTTAAATTCCTGAAGGGCCGCAACTCTGCGTAGTTTAGCACCAACCACCTCCAACTCACACCTGCTTAATAGTCTTAGTAGTCTTGAACACCTTGATTAGTTGGATCAGGTGTGTTTGGTTAGGGTTGAAGCAAAACTGTGCAGAGCTGCAACCCTGAACACAAATTCAGTGATCCCTGATCTAGACCCTAGGATAAAAAATATTTAAAATAACAAAAATTGAAGAATAAATAATAGTTAGTGTTATAGGTAATAGTTAATGTTTCAACATTTTCTATTACAATCAAACCTTTAGTATTGTTTAGAAGATCTAACAAAAAACTAAATGAATATATTTGAACTATAGATAAATATATACTAATGATAGATAAATACTATACTGTACTAAATGCATTCCTCATTGTTACTGTTGCTTTATATTTTTTGCACATTTTGGTGAATAAAAATTATTGAGGTCTGATCATTAGCTAAAGTGGACGTATTATTCAAAAATCCCATTTATAAGGGGTGTGTCTTAGTTGTGTGGAAGCAGTATGTGAATATAACCAGCCTCTGATGGTAAAAAAGTTAATTAATTAATTTAATTTATTTATATAAACAGTCTAAGTAGACACTTTGATTGACATTCTCTCTTTGTACGTGTCATCAGAGGGGGAAAGCCCCGCCCATCAGTGATGTATAACTAGCCCTGAGTGAGAGGCAGCCATTCTCCATTAGAGTTTTGATCTGCCTTAAGATAATGTCAGCGACTTAGAGGATTATAAATGTTACGTTTTTTAATCTACCATTTTGCTGACACAAAGGCATTTGTAGCTCCGTCCTTTTCGAAAAGAGCACCATCTCATTTGCATTTAAAGCGACAGTCACCAAATCTACATAATTTGAATCAAAGCCTAACAGGGTCAGTTAGGGTCAGAGAGTTATAAAGCATTATTTGTGTGGTATTGTGTGCTGAAACTTCACACACACACACACACACACACACACACACACACACACACACACACACACACACACTCTAGGGACATCACAGACACTTTACATCTTGTAAAAAGCTCCTGAGGTTTTAATATACAGTATGTTTTATCTTTTACAGTGACTCTGTTCTTGGAGTTCTGGAAACGTTACCAGGCCAAACTGGAGTACAAGTGGGACACAGTGGAGTTTCAGCAGCAGGAGGAGCAGCCCAGGCCTGAATATGAGGCTAGATGCACCTATGAACGATTTAGTCCTATCACACAGGTACCTGTACTGGAAACTCTGGTTTTCACATTGTTTTTACATCAACAATGTGCACATAAACACCTCAGATCTAACCTGTAGCGGGCTTTTGTGTTTCTTTACACAGTCCAATGAGAAGGTGCCGTATACAGCCTGTGGAAAGTGCATGAGAGTGTCGTGTGGCATTGGCACTGTGCTTTTCTGGGTAATGACTGTCCATTATACATTTAATTATGATGATAATTACATCTAAATATAATGATCATCATCTTAAAGTCTGCATTAAATCAAAATGTACAATGTTTATTTTGTTAGTGAAATTGTTAGTCTTAAGGTTAATAATTAATCACTGTTTGTCATAGCTTGTTTTGGTAATCTTTAAATAAAATCTGCCCGTCTGCTTCCGCTTTGAAGTGGCAGTGGATGATGTCAGTTTGACAGATTGCGTGAAATATGCTTAGCCGTTAGTTTACTAAAGGTTAAAGATGAGAGGCGGAGCTCATCGCCCCCTACTGTATTCCGTTTTGGTTGGAAATATGTTGTCATACTTTAATAAAACCCGCCCCCTTCTCAATATTCAGTTTTACTTGGAAATACGTCATCATAATAAAATTAGCCCCACCCTCTAATCAATATTCAGTTTTATTTGGAAAAACATCATCATAATGAAATTAAACCCCACCCCCTAATCAATTCTTAGTTTCAGTTGGAAATACATCATCATACTAAACTCCGCCCCCTACTTAATATTCAGTTTCAGTTGGAAATACGTCATCACACTGAAATTAAGCTCCACCCACTAATCAATATTCAATTTTATTTGTGAATACATCATCCTAATGACATTAAACCCCTCCCCTAATCAATACTTAGTTTCAGTTGGAAATACATCATCATACTAAACTCCGCCCCCTACTCAGTATTCAGTTTCAGTCGGAAATACGCAGGGGTGATAGCGTTCCGGCACCACGCCGGATTTCCGGCGTACTGTGGCTGCGGGGAAAAAAAAAATCAGGTTCACGGATATTGATCTGTCATTTCTCTAGATTCACAGAATTCACTCACTGATGAAAGCGCCAGATTGGTTTTTATTAAGTGCCATTTTGTGTGCTCGTGAATCATCTTTTGAGTGTAGACGCCATGTAAATAAAAGATTAATTGTGTAATTTAGAGAGCTTTATAAATTATAACGGATCTTTGTGAGATCTCTATGAACTAAGATTAGTGACGCTTTTTAGTGATAATAAGAGAAGCGTGCTTTGCACTTTCCAGGCTATAATCCATTCAGAATTTGTATGAAACTTTCGTTTTCGGCACATATACGCTGATATGTTTTGGGAATGACATCTGCATATTTACGCTGGGTTTATTCTCGAAATAACGGTGAAGCAATAGACGGGACAAAAATATATTTCCCCCTTCTCCTTAAACAACTTAGTGTTTCAGCTATGAAATAGTTCTGTTTTGTATGTAGCCTAATGGCAAAGTGTTTATATTTAGTTTCGTTTTTTATTCAGCTTATTTAGAAAAACGTTTGGAGCATTTTTTATTCGTTAAAAATAAGTTTTTTTTTTAACGAACAGCGCCCAGCGGAAGACCATCATTGTCTGTTTGATCAGTTTGCCTTCTCAGATCATCACGACTTGCCTAAAATAAAAGATATAAAACAGTTCAAGTATAAAACAATGGTAGCTTAAACGTTAAAGAATGTGTGCTATTAGGCGCATAGTTTGCTTATAAAAAGCTTGCAGGACATCGCGGCGCCAGAGCAATCACTTGCATTTTTTCAGTGGGAGCAATTTAAAGTTATCCGTCATTTTAGCTCACAAAGTACGAGTAATACATCAAAAAACGTTACAGCGTTTTTATAAAATAAAGAAAACCAAAATTATGCGCTTTCTGTCGTCAGGTTTTTGAACAGGAGCGCTTAACAAAATGAAGCAAAATGTATATGCCTCACAGACATAATAAATATATTTATAGAAAGCTTTAAATTATTACTTAACGAAATAAAACAAATCGAAAACAAAAAAACTCCTTCATGTAATCCGTAAAGATGAACTTCTCTCTAAAGGCGAGTCCAAGAGGAGATTGCCAGTCAGGATCTTTGCGACTCAGAATAAGTTTATTAATAAATAATTATGATATGATCCTTACTCTTTCCTCGACACATTCATGGTTATTTGTTTTTGCCGGTGCTTGGGGCGAGTTTTAGCTTATTGTGTGCGCTTGAACGCGGTTTCACAGTAGCAGTTTTAACATGGAGTGACACGACATCTGACGTACAGATGACACTGGCACATGCCACTGAGTGTAGTGACACTTCCGGTGGCAAAACCATATTTAATCATTACGCGACTTTTAACCTAATTTATCGCGTCGCAAGTTAGTTTATTTGCTGAGCTACTCTTTTAATTTAAACGCATTTATTTTATGTTTTCGTAGTCATACTTCCGTACGTAATATAGTCATTTGACAGTACATGTCAGTCAAATTTATTGTGGCATGCTTATGTATGGGAGGGGTTACACTTATCTGTTGTACTGTATATTATTGCATCCTGGCAGTTCCTTTGTTCCCTACAATATGGACTTCTCTATGTTTTTAATTCATTCATTTATTTTATTATTTAACTTATTTTCATTTTAAGGTATTTTAAATAATATCCTTTAAAAAGTTTTAATAAAATGCATGTTGAAAACTCATAACATATATGCATGTAAGATAACAGGTGTCATTTGTCTAATGATTTTTAAATATTAAAGCAAAGAGACTTATAAGATTAAGGTGCTTATAACGTGCTTATACTGACACCTACTGGCACATGTCACAAGATCACTAACACTGGCATGTGTCACTGACATTACTGGCATGTGTCTAAAAAGAGCCACTTGACAATAATGATGATCAGGGTTACACATAGGCTGTTAATATATTTGGGCCCAGGGGCCCACAAGTTATGTGTTAAAAGTGCGTTGCATACATAGTACCCCCACCCCTACTCACCTCAGGGGCAAGGAAAAAAAGTTCAGGCTCAGGAATTTTTTCCACTATCAGCCCTGAATACGTCATCATACTGAAATTAAGCTCCACCCTCTAATCAATATTCAATTTTATTTGGAAATACATCATCATACTGAAATTAAGCTCCACCCTCTAATCAATATTAAATTTTATTTGTGAATACATCATCATAATGAAATTAAACCCCACCCCCTAATCAATACTCAATTTCAATTAGAAATACATCATCATACTAAACTCTGCCCCCCACTCAATATTCAGTTTCAGACTGAAATACATCATCATACTGAAATTAAACTCCGCCCCCTACTTAATATTCAGGTTCAGTCAGAAATACATCATTGTAATGAAATAAATCCCACCCCTACTCAATGCTTGGTTTAAATTGGAAATACATCATCATACCAGTCAGAAATACATCATCATACTGTAATTTAACCCCGCCCCCTACTCAATATTCAGATTCAGTTGGAAATACATATTCATACTGCATTGTTGTTGGAAATGTTAACTGGTATGTACATGCTTCTTTATCATCTTGTGTAGATTCTGTTGATCGTAGCGTCAGTGGTCGGGGTGATTGTGTATCGTTTGGCGATGTTTATGGTGTTCTCGATGCAGCTGCGCTCTGACCTCAATAGAAAAGAGCTGGAGCCGTTCAGAGAGTACATCACGCCTCAGATGGCCACATCCATCACCGCCTCCATCATCAACGTCATCATCATCATGATCCTCAATATTGTCTACGAGAAAGTGGCCGTCTGGATCACAGACTTCGGTCAGTCTCTGGTTTCATCTGATGTTTTTGTGCCAGCCGAACTCCTCTCATATTATATACAGTGGTTAGCACTGTCGCCTCACAGTAAAAAGATCGCTGATTCGAGTCCCGGCCTGGCCAGTTGACATTTCTCCCCGTTTTGGCGTGGGTTTTCTCCGGGTGCTCTGGTTTCCCTTCACGGTTCAAACACATGCGCTAGAGGGGAATTGGATGAACTAAATTGGCCGTAGTGTATGAATCCTTGTGAAAATGCGAGAGTGTATAGGTGTTTCCCAGTTCTGGGTTGCAGCTGGAAGGGCATCCGCTGTGTAAAAAATTTGCTGGAATAGTTGGCTGTTCATTCCGTTGTTGGGACCCCTGATAAACAAGAGACTACGTTGTCTATGCCGTCCTAAATTATTAGCCTCCATGTATAATTTTTCCTCAGTTTCTTTGTTAGGTAATAAAGTTATTTATTATAATATTTTTGTTTTAATTAAAACCTGGTTTGCTCGTTTATACCGATGGCCACTGCAGAAATGTTCTAACAAACAGGCTGTTGTCATTTGGAGCTTTGGAGACGTAACGTAAATTCCACTTTTAAATAATTAGTCAACTATAGCTTTCGTCATGAGCCACGGCTGTGTTCAAAATGCCATGAATGTTTTCAAAGTGCACTTCGAAGGGAACGCAATTGTCAATATGAAGATACTTACAAATACTACAAAATACTTACAAATTACACATAAGCAAATTACTAATAAAAGAGATGACTGTAATGTCTGGTTCTAAGTTTAAATGTTAGAATGTTCTAAATGAATAGGGCATAGGGGGGATAACTGGAAATAGAACACAGCCTGGAACTCTGCTTCTAACTATAGCTCTAGAGGTGTAGTTGCAAGTGTACAAATTTGAACGATGGATTCGGAAAATGCCAAATCAACTATGTTTGTAATGACGGAACTTGTGACCTTAGTTAGCTAACTAAAACACAGCCCTGGTCAACTTCTAACTACAGCTTTAGAGGTTTAGTTGCAAGCATACAAGTTTGCATGACGGATTTGGGAAATGCCAAATCAACTAACTATGTTTGTAATGATGAAACTTGCGACCTAAGTAAGCTAACGATGATTTTTGTAAACGCAGCCCTGATCAACTATAATATTAATTTAGCACTGCTGATTCTGTGATTTAAATATTGTAGATTTGCATATTGCAATAGTGATGCTGAAATGATTTATAATGGAGCAATTTTGTATGCAATTAGTGTAGAAATGTGGCATGACCAATTTCTTTATTAAGTAATAAAGTTATTTATTATAATATTTTAGTTTTAATTACAACCTGATTTGCTTGTTTATTTTGATGGCCACATGGCATGGGGGAAAACAAGTAACATGTAAAGCTGTTTAATTTAGTTCATCATTAATTGTTGCCTTTTTTGTGCATGTTTCAGAGCTGCCACGGACAAAAACAGAGTATGAGAACAGCCTGACGCTCAAGATGTTCCTCTTTCAGTTCGTCAATTTTTACTCGTCTTGTTTCTACATCGCCTTCTTCAAAGGGAAGATTGTTGGTTATCCAGGAGAACCCGTCTACTGGTTAGGAAAGTTTCGCAATGAGGAGGTGAGAGATGGGGAAGATACTACAGGCAAAACGATATGTAAATCATCAGACATTTGGATAGTAGAGTCTACACACCTTTTGTTTTAGTATTTTCTACTGTACCATCATCTCAGGCAGTTTACACATCAGTTTGTGATATTAACCATTTTCAGTGATATTAACCATTTCAGATTCACTCATTTGTGAGTGTCGAGTAAAAATGATTTAAAAGTACATATTTTTATGGTTTTCTAACAGTATACAGACACAGAGCTTTTTAAACTTTTAACAATTAAATGTAAAATAACACTGTGCAGTCTGAAATAAATAAATAAATCTCTTAACTTGTACCCAAATGGTTTGAATTCAACTTTAAATGCAAACCTTAAAAACACATGCAAATGTAAGCTTACACGCTAATTAAACTTTGCAATGACTTGCTGTTAACATTCTGGGGTGTGTTACTGGGGTGCAAATTAATTGAAATGTATGTAAACAACACATATAGGGCCTATAAATGTTTCCTTTACAAATATTACTGAGAATTTTGCATATAAAATCTCTTAGCTAACAGGTATTCTAATCTTATATCTAAATCATATAAATCGTTAATGGTTGTAAGGCTAATTTACAGTAGGCTATTTATTAACAAAAGAAAAAACTTTATTATCATTATCAACCTTTATTATCATTATTAAACATAGTACATGATTAATCATTAATATTATGTTGGATATTGTGTATTTTTTTATTTGTTATTATTTTTGAAAAGTCTACTTTTACTACTTGACTTGTTCAAACCACTGCAGAAATGTTCTAACCAACAGGCCCATGTCATATACAGTACAGATACATTTCTGAATAAATAACCTACTACAAATTAAAAGCATTAACGTAGGCAGGGTTTGTTTTCACAAGCCTGGGAGATGTAACATAAATTCCGCTTTTAAATAATAGGTCACCTATAGCTTTTGTCTTGAGCTACACGGCTCTATTTAAAATGGCATAAATGTTTTCAAAGTGCTCTACAAAAAAAGGGCCAGATTGGCTAATTCATAAAAGAGATGACTGTAATGATTAGGGCATAGGGGGGATAACTGGGAATAGAACACAGCCCGGAACTCTGCTTCTCACTACAGCTCTAGAGGTTTAGTTGCAAGCGTACAAATTTGAACGATGGATTCGGGAAATGCCAAATCAACTATGTTTGTAATGACGGAACTTGCGACCTTAGTTAGCTAACTATGGTTTTTGGAAATGCACCCCTGGTCAACTATAATACCAATTTAGCTCTGCAGATCCTGTGATTTTAACACTGTAGATTTGCATATTGCAATAGTGATGCTGAAATAATTTATAATGGAGCAATTTGTTATGCAATTAGTGTAGAAATGTGGCATGACATTAAAACGCTGTTGTGTTCAGTGTGATCCTGGTGGCTGTCTGACTGAACTGACCACTCAGCTGTCAATCATTATGACTGGAAAGGCCGTCTGGAACAACATACAGGAAGTCCTGCTGCCGTGAGTTTCACACACACAGGAAGCACACCAGTCTGACTGCGCTTTTCAGTCAAAGTGAAAGTCTGCAATACGCTTCTTCTGCTTAGTTCTAAAATACATACATAGTATATTAAAATACATGCATAGACACCGGCTTATCCCAAAAGATAATATGATGATGCACAAGAGGCATCATTATGCAAAATTATATTTCTCCGCTTTTATTTACATTTGAACAAAAACTTTGTCGAAATTTTCCAGGGGTATGAATAAATTCAGGCTTCATTATATATCAACATTTACAGTAAAAGTAATATTTTCTCTTCAAATTGTAATATAAAATGTAGTGTTTGCCATCAGTAAAAAGCGCTTCATTAATAAGCGATGGTGTTTCTAGGTGGCTGAAGAATCTGATGTTTCGTCATTGCACCCAGGTGGGATCAGAAAAAGCGATTCCTCGCTGGGAACAAGACTATCAGCTCCAGCCGATGGGAACACTCGGCCTGTTTTATGAATATCTGGAGATGGGTAAGATGTCAAAATCAAACATGTTATCGCTGTGAGTTTCAGGATTATCTGAATGTCTGCTGCGTTCCAGTGATCCAGTTTGGCTTTGTGACTCTGTTTGTGGCGTCTTTCCCGCTGGCTCCTCTTCTGGCGCTGGTCAATAACCTGTTTGAGATCCGTGTGGACGCCTGGAAGTTCACCACTCAGTTTCGTAGGATTGTCCCAGAGAAAGCTCAGGACATCGGAGCCTGGCAGCCCATCCTGCAGGGGGTGACCATTCTGGCGGTGGTCACTAATGTAAGTCCAGAACATGGATTTCTTCATTTGAATTTGCTGGTGTTGATTCTTAAATATTGAACATTTTTATTTTAGTCACTGCTGTTTTCTAAACTGCACTGAACATTAGTTGTATGCATGCCTAGCTTCTAGCTTTTAATATTAAAATAACGTTTATGAACTGAAAATGTACTTTACCTTATATAAATGTACATGAATGGAGTTAACTTGTTAACAAAGGTTCTGCGGTAGAACCACGCCTCACTTTGTCTCCTTAACCAATCACCCACTCCCTAAAACTTATTTAAGGCAGACTAGCCATCTAGCACTGTTTTGAACCTTCCCTTTCTCCCTATGTTTCCTCACTTTCCATTCACGATCCTATAACTCTTTTTACTCTTAGGTTGAATCAGGGGGTCCAGTCACTCTACCAAAATATTACAGAGACAGTACCCCCACTCTGAGTCTCTGGGCATCATCATAGGATACCAAATCAACCTACCTACCTGTTCACTGTTTATCCTCTTACTTCTCTTCCCCTTCATCCCACTGTTCTCTTACCATCCCCTTCATCCCTACACCCCTAAAATAAAGTCTAGCTCAAAGTGTGACGTGGTCCATGCCGGTGAAATAGGTGTTGATTTGAAATTGAAACTGAATCAAAGTGCAACTTAATTTTTATTATACAAATCAATATTAAGTTGACTTCAATCAAAATCAGAACTGAATTGAATTACATTGCAAGTTTGTGAATAGAAAATGTGCTCAACCTGAAGTTTATACGAATTAATGGATACTGAATCAAATTTAATTGAGATCATAACATAGTCAAAATGCATGGTTGTGAATCAAATATTTACTTTTTGAATTGATACTGAATTGAATTAAGAATGGGTCTGAACTGAATCGCAATCTTGCTTCATATATTTTAAAATGAATCGAATCAAAATTAATCAAGATCAGAATTAAAACAAACTAATTTCACCAAAAATTTACTGCACCTGATATATATATCCAACTGAATCAATATCTTATTTATTTGAATTGAGATTGTAAATGATTAGAAGTGCAAGCTTTTAAATTAAAGGTCTAAAATGTTTTATTTATATTTCAATCATACTGCAAACTTGTGAATCACAATGTTCATACTGTACATGATATAAAGCCAAATTTGTTATCAAACTAAATCCAGCATATCCAAAATAACCAAGAATTATACTTAAATCAAACTGCAAGCTTGCAAATCAAAAATAGACTCTACTGGACTGGATCTTAATTGAACTGCTTTGTGAATTAAAAATGTACTGTATCTGATATAAATATAAGTCAATTGATGTTAAATGTGAATGTCAATTGGGACTGAATCAAATTGCAAGCTTGTGAATCAAACATATATGTCATATATATCCTTATATAACTTAAAACCAAATCAAACTGAAGCTTGTGAAATTGAATCACATGAGTCATTATATTTGACTCAGGTTCAGTTGTTTTTGTTTTTGAGTGATTTAGATTTTGTTCACTGTTCAAAATTATTGAACCTGTACAATATATATATTTTTTTTCAATTATTTCTCAGGTCATATTTAACTGATTAAGGTTGTTTTTTTAGGCTAGAAGAATATGTAGTCAAATATTATGTGCTGTCATCATGGCGAAGATAAAAGAAATCAGTCATTAGAAATGAGTTATTAAAACTATTATAAAATCTCTCCATTAAACAGAAATTGGGGGAAAAACATACAGGGGGGCTGATCATTCTGACTTCAACTCTATTATCAAACTGAAGCTTGTAAAATTAAATCAAATGAGTCATTAAATTTGGCTCAGGTTCAGTTCAGTTGTTTTTGTATTTGTGTGATTTATATTATACATCCTTTTTTTCTCTCTCCAGACTGCTATCATCGCCTTCACTTCTGACATGATCCCTCGTCTGGTTTATTATTGGGCTTTTTCTGTCAGTCCTTACGTAGAGAACTCAAACCACACTATGGCCGGCTTCATCGACAGCTCTCTGTCTGTTTTCAACATTAGTCACTTTGACGATAAAACCAGACCTCGAGACGACATCAAACCGATCTGGTTTAACAACATCACCACGTGCCGGTGAGTCTGTCTATGGTCATCTACTATTTAAACATTTGATAAAGGTTGTGATGAGGAGAGATTAACCAGTGTGATTCCAATGTTATAAATGCAACATGTGCAGTAAGATCTCAAAACACACTTTCTAATGTGAATTTCTATGTTAACTTTATAATGAAACAGTATGGAATCAGAGTTATGAGATCAAAAAAATATCAATCTGTCAACATGTTTAATATTTTTAAATGAGGAAAATAAAGATGTGTTATGAATGTAACCAAAAAACTCTGCCAGTTTACAATTTACAACATACTTTGGAGAAATTCTGTGAATTTAACAGCACAACCCAAAACAAACCATGCTAATCACAATGAGAAGAGTTGACTCACTAAAGAGCAAACATGATTCATTTTATCTTATATTTATGAGGGAAAAACTTTTCCCAGGGATGGGTTGCAGCTGGAAGGGCATCCGCTGTGTAAAACGTATGCTGGATAAGTTGGCGGTTCATTCCGCTGTGGCGACCCCTGATTAATAAAGGGACTAAGCCGAAAAGAAAATGAATGAATGAATGAATGAACGAGGGAAAAACTTGGTTATGGATGTGACCAATGTAAAATTGGCTCTTGTATGACTTTGGTAAATCAAATATAACCATTTGAAAACATTGACAGAGACATTTTTGAGTGTTTTTACAGCACTGTAAAATACAAGCCTAAGCAAAAAAAAACAAAGGGTTCAGCTTTTTAGGGTTTTGCATGGAATTGCTTAAAAATGCTTGCATTGAGTCATGCACAATAAAATGCACTGTATAAAGATGCACATAAAATGCACAAACAAGGACTATAAGTGAGCTGTGAGACCTGGGTCATTTACATAAAAAGTGCAGAGCGTCAGTAGATTTGCATAGAAAATGCAAATGTTTGATTAATAATACGGGGAGTGGACAGAGACGTTTGGTTAGGATTGATTTGTAGTTATAAGCTGGAATTCAGTCATTTATTCTTCAAGGAGCCATTTAGAAACTTAAAAACACAACTTTTTTTAATAAAGATTGTTATTGTTAGCCTAGGGGCGGCACGGTGGCACAGTGGGTAGCACAATTGCCTCACAGCAAAAAGGTCGCTGGTTTAAGCCTCGGCTGGGTCAGTTGGCGTTTCTGTGTGGAGTTTGCATGTTCTCCCCTTGTTCGTGTGGGTTTCCTCCGGGTGCTCCGGTTTCCCCCACAGTCCAAACACATGCACTATATGGGGAATTGGGTAAGCTAAATTGTCTGTAGAGAATGAGTGTGTGTGGATGCATCTACTCCGTGGAACATGTGCTGGATAAGTTGGCGGTTCATTCCTCTTTGGCGACCCCAGATTAGTAAAGGGACTAAGCCGAAAAAAAAATGAATGAATGAATTGTTAGCCTAAAGAGCTATTTCTGCCTCATTGAAACAACTTTTCTTTTATAAATTGATGTGTATATGTGTTGGTTTAGTTATGTTTAATTATGTTTAGCTTTAATAAAACTGGTTTATTTATATGTTTATGTGGCTATATAATAATTTTAATCGTAATAATTATAACAGCATTTTTTTTAAATACATAAACATATATAATTGCATTAATTAGCATAAATAATTTGGCATTATTTCTATTTTTACTTTATTTAATGCTTGCTATAGTTGTATATAAATATTACTGAATGTACATAAATTGTTCTAATTTTACAATATAATATAATTTATTAAATGTTGCTTAATTTATAATGTTTAAATATCCATAGCTCCAAACAAATCAAGAGCCAATCTTTATTGAATTGGCATCCTTTTACTTTTATTTTACAGAGAAATATCCAGATGAATCGATATTAAATCAAACTGATTCAGCTACGAACTCAATTGCGATCCTGTGAATAAAAATATTCTGTATTCTGTTTTCTTCTCAGGTATCGAGATTACAGGAATCCCCCTGATCATCAGAACCCATATCAGTTCAATGTTTATTACTGGCATGTCATCGCCGCCAAACTGGCTTTCATGATCGTGGTGGAGGTACGTGACTTAAGATCATCTTATGATTTATTTGACATTTTTGACAGTAAAAAAATCAGTCTTTAATCAAGTGTTGAACTGCGAGAGTGTGTCTGAGCCTCGGACATTATCAGGAAGGCTATTCCAGAGTTTAGGAGCCATAAATAAGAAGGCTCGACCTCCTTTAATTGACTTTGCTGTTCTAGGTACTACCAGAAGCCCTGAGTTTTGAGATCTTAAAGAGCGAGTTGGATTGAAGTGAGACAGAAGCTTGGTTAGATAAACAGGAGCTAGATTATTTAAAGCTTCATACGTAAGAAGCAATATTAAAAAAATTAACAGGCAGCCGGTGTAAGGAGGATAAAATTGTAAAGTTTTTTTTTTCTTTTGTTTTGATCATTGAGCTGACAGAAGCCTGTAGGGACTGATTATCATGTTGTATTAGCCCACTGTTAGTGCTAGTTCAGTTGAAGGTTATAAATGTGCAGGGTTTCCCTCAGCACATTGTATATTTCATCAAATTCACGCTATCTTGTTTATTAGGAGTATGATCTTATTCTGCATCCCTAATCCTACCCAAAACCTAAACCCAAGTTCTAACTTACTATAAACAGCTAGTTAGTATTTTATTATAAGTTAGCAGTGTTTTATTAAGCCTGTAGGGACGGTTTATCATATTATATTAATGCTCGTGCAGTTGAAGGTTATGACTGTGCATTTTATTTCTCTCCTCCTCCTCTCAGCACATTGTGTATTTCACCAAGTTCATGCTGTCCTACTTGATCCCGGATGTTCCCGAAGCTCTGAACGAGCAGATCAAACGTGAGCGATTCCTGACGCGGGACATCCTAAACAACAGCCAGTTGACAGACCTGATAAAACCCATCCGAGAGAAACTGCAGACGGACGTGGCAGACTTCACTGAGCTGGAGGAGCTGTTATAACGACACAGTGATGTAACGCACAACTCAATCCCAACACTGCATACACCGTGGGAAATGTCTCTCAATGCACAGCTGCCTTATTCAGTGATTCACAAGTGTTTTCTGTTTGTTTATTTAAGTTGTGAATTGCATTATGGGATGTTGATCTCTGCTCTGTCCACTTTTGATGTCGAAAATTCAACTCTGCAGTTTAACAAAGTGACTTTTAGTGACATTTTATTAGTTTAAAATAATATATAGAGATAAATAAGGCTGTAAAATAAGATAAAGTGGTGCAAGGTGTTACATAGCGTAATACACAACACAAACCCAGACAATATATCACTGCAAACTATTAAAAATGCAGTTTTTACAGGTTTTAAGGTTAACATTTTTTGGAAGAATGATCAAGATCCCATAATGCAAGTCAAATAACAAAATATGACCGTGACGGTGACTCAGTGGTTAGCACTGTGGCCTCCCAGCAAGAAGGTCACAGTTTCGAGTCCTGGCTTGGTCAGTTAGTATTTCTGTGTGGAGTTTGCATGTTTTCCCTGTGTTGGCGTGGGTTTCCCCCACAGTCCAAACACATGCGCTAAAGGGGAACCGATGAACTAAATTGGACGTAGTGTGTGTGTATGTGTATGGGTGTTTCCCAGTGCTGGGTTGCAGCTAGAAGGGCATCCGCTGTGTAAAACACATGCTGGAATAGTTGGCGGTTCATTCCGCTGTGGCAACCCCTGATAAAATAGGCGACCCCTGATAAAAAGGGACTAAACCAAAGGAAAATGAATGAGTGAATCTTTCATTGCAGCCAAACTAAAAGAAACACCTGTATAATTCTTACAGACTTTTTAAGAAAGACTTTCTCCAGAAGACAATATTAGAAACATTTCTTTGCTCTGTTAAACATGACTTGGAAATAAGTGAAGTTTCACAAACTAATTTCGAGAGGAGCACGAAGCTGGTCTCTCATCTATAATTATTAGTTAACCCATCAGATTAATCCAAATTCACTATAAGTAGCCTGGCTAAAGCTGTGGTCACACTGCACTTTTCTCCCCATAGACTTCCATTCATACGCACTCAAATGTGTCAGACCGAAAACGCAGGCTCGTGCGACAAGTTTTGCAGTTTGCTGCATGTGTGAGACCAATCAAGGATCAAAACATGACCTCTCTGAACAGAAATGTAGATATGGACCAATTGCTCGCTTGTTTAAATGTCTAATCATCTTGTTTAAATGTCTAATCACCTTTTCGCAGCGCCGTACGCAGTGTAAGGGAGTAACTAGTTGCACGTACGTAATTACGTTACGTGATTTAATTACAAAATAAAAGTTACAGTAATTCGTTACAGTTACTGAGAAAAATGTGCAATTAAATTACAGTTACTTGTAAAAATGTTAAAGATTACACATGGGGTTACATCTAAAAATGTTCTTAAAAATCTGGGATATGTTGAATAGTATTAATCTGCTGATTTGCCTGTTTTTGATATGCACGATGCCTTCTGCTAAGGTCATTTATTAAGGTGGTGCAATTCTGATGCTTTTGATTTGCGGCGCACCAACGGTCATAAATCCCGGGGGGGGAACATGTCCTCGGTATAAATGCTTAAAAATAATTTAGTTAAAAATGTCCATCAGAAACTTAGAAGTAATCAAATGTAATTAGTTACTTTACTTTTATAAAGTAATCGAAAAGTAGTTTCACTTATTACATTTTAAATACGGTAATTTGTAATCTGTAATCTATTACATTTCCAAAGTAACCTCCCCAACACTGGTCGTACGACAGAATTTCGCAAGCTCAAACTCTAGTGTGACTGCGGCTTAAAACTACTCCCTTACCTTCGTTTTGTGAAGAAACACCCCTTTCACCCCATCTCCCCCTTTAACAGAGGCAGCTTTCCAGAAATACCTGATCTCGTACCCCTCTTACATCATACCTGCCAACATTTAGTTCAGAAAATCTGTGAGACCGGTGAAGTGAAGTGTGGGGGGCTTGGGGTGTTCGGGACTGTGAGGGGGAGCGTTGTGCTGTGCGGGGAGCAGGTATGGAGATGGATGCGCGACTGTGCCAAAAAGCTTGCCGGACTGTAGAGCGGGTGGGGGAGGGGTGTAATTCTGGGATTTTTCTGGGAGACAACAATACGGGAGATGGGTTTAAAATAGGGGAGACTGCTGGGAAAAACAAGAGTGTTGGCAGGTATGCCTTACATGCTTATTGACCAGGCAGGAGCCACGGGCTCAATTATCTCCGAGCTCAGGGTTCTCTCCTGGACAGCATCCCAAACCTATTATTATCAAGCAATATCTAAGCGTGAACTCTTAAATTGAATTTTGTCTAAAACTGTAAAGCAAATCACGTTTCAGAAAGCACTCTGTCATTATAACTCACAACATCAACAGCCTTGCTTTGACAATCAAAATATGAAGAGTTCATATGCAGACACCTCCAAATCAGGGGTGTCCAAACTCGGTCTTGGAGAACCGGTGTCCTGCATAGTTTAGCTCAGGGGTTACCAACCTTTAGGAAACTGAGAGCTACTTCTTGGGTACCGATTAGTGTGAAAGGGTTCCAGTTATTAAATAACACATTTTTCTTAATTTACTTTCAATTATATGTTAATATCAATAATGAATAATATTCATCTATGTGAAGACATTGATCATGTTCGTGATTTCTCACAGTAGTTGTCAACAATGACTTAACAATTTAGATAAATATGCAACACTTCATTTGTCTGAAATTGTTTTTAAAGTTTTTTTTTAATATATAACAAAGTAATTTTCAGATTTACACCAATGCAAGTGTGATTTAAGAGGAATACCTATAAAAATATTAGATGCAGCTTACTCATATGTGGTGCTATGCTGAGCTATTTTTAGAACAGGCGACTCATGTGAACCTGGCATGTTGGTGTCCCCTGGTTTAGCTTCAACCTCCATCAACACACTTGCCTGGAGGTTTTATTATACCAAGAATAAGCTTGATTAACAGGTTCAGGGGCCTCATGTATGAAGACTTGCGTGGAAATCTTACTAAAACATTGCGTATGCACAAAGCTGTAAATGTGCGTACGCAAAAAAAATTCAGATGTATGAAACACTGCGTACACCGAATCTCACGCATATTCTTTTGTACATCCGAATGAACGTGAAACTGAGCGCAACATGCACGAGCACAAAACCCCTCCCTGCCTCCTCCCCCGTATGAATATGCTAATGACTCTACTTTGGCAAAACCCAACGAAAAAGCAAAGGCAAAATCAAGCAAGAAGAGAAACTTTGAACAGAATGTGAATTGGAGGTGCTGCTTTCGGAGGTAGACCGGAGAAAAGCGGTGTTATTTGCAAGTTTGTTCTCCGGAATTAACAACAAAAGAAAAAAATAGAGTGGCAGAGTTTAGCAGATGCGGTTAACACAGTTGGGTCTGAACATCGCACTGTGTGGATTAAAAAAGAAATAGTGTGGTTTATAGGTGTGAAATGTTGAAGCACCTACAACAGTCTAAGTGACGTAGCTCGTATGACACATGTTAACATGTTTTGACATGTTCAAGTATGAACTCGGTTCAAATCCAGCGTCTGATGAACTCTTTCTTCTTTTTTTCCCCGCTACATATCAGATTTTGCCAACTATTTATCACGAGAAAGACAAGTAGGAATCATTAATATGTTTGTGCATCATATTTTATTTGCACATTTAGTGAATGGAAATGTTTCTGATTCATGTATACAAATTCATCTTCAGATGGTGTCTTTATAGCAATGTGCGTGCAGTAGATTGCTCAGATTACATTGGGAAAACAGGCGACCGCTGCAATTTGCGCTTTAATGTTTGGCTGGTCAACTGTATGGTATGGAAATCTTATATACCTGCTGAACCCGTCTCATACAGCTGCCATTGCAAGGCTCAGACACTTTGTAGAGAGGAATATAACACAACTGCCTCTAGGAGTCGCCAATGGAAATAAAACAGACACGCACAAAAAATGTGCGTACGCCAGCCATGAACATTCCCACGTTCAGTCCATTGTTAGTGAGCGATTCTGAGCGTGAAACCTGGCGTACGCAAAGTTTTTGTGTGTACGCAGCATTGATACATGAGGCCCCAGGTGTGTTTAATTGGGGTTGGAACTAAATTATGCAGGACATCAGCTCTTTAGGACTGAGTATGGGCACCCCTGCTATAAATGCTGTCTGAAATGTTCTTCTAAAATGAGCTCTTCATCAGGCTGATATGTGTAGGTTCAGTCATCCTACTGCTGTGGTCAGTAGTGTAGTGGTTAGTGTGTCGACACATGCACTCCAGTGCTCACGGCGACCCGAGTTCAAATCCCGCCTTGCAATCCTATGCCGATCCTTCCCCTCTCTGTGCGTTCCTGGCGATAATCTTAGCACTTATTTACATATAATATATAATGAAGACTTTTTTTATTGCAAAGAACCATGCAAAAAAAAGTAGCATCACTTTAAGTATTTAAGCATTAATTCTGACTATTAACCAGTGGATAATTACCTGCCTATTATAAAAATATTGGCTGTTTATTAATATTATAAAGCACATATTCTGCATGCTCTTATTCTACATACCCAATACTCAAACACAACCACTACCCTAATAACTATTAATCAGCAGCTACTGTAGGCAAAAATCAGTTGATGATAAGAGTAATTAATAATCCTTCCTTGTATTATTTGAAGTATTTCATTAATAGGTTATCATTAGATAACATGAACTAATCTCCGTAATATGTATTTTCCGAATTCGCTGTTACATCATTAAAGTCAAATGTGGTTTTTAAACATTATTTAATGAATTAATCAATAATTGTTCATTGATTTTAATGTATTAACATAAGTGTTGCTCGTTATTAGTTACTTTGATAATTAATTGAACCCTATAATATGCAATGAGCTGCATAATACTGATATATATATATATATATATATATATATATATATATATATATATAGATATATTAAAATATATATATTATAAAAGCAGATATGTTCACCTCTTCACAATATGCAAAATCTGCTAGAAACTATGAAAGATATATATTTAACTATCAAATTTAATGCTGACAAATGAGTTTCTATAAAATAAACCCAGCACTTACAAATATATATATATACTAACAAAAGAAAGATTTATTGACCTGTACTGTGGTGTTTATGCTGTTTATCTACCTTGGAGTATATGAATATGGTGTTTAGAGTTAAGGTTTGTTATGTTAATAATATGAGAGTATTTCCATGATACTGTCACACATGATACTGTGAGCACAAGATGTCATACGTTACGTTTGTATTGAAATTTTACTCATGGTTTGTTTGTATTACATTTTTGTTTGTTGCATATTTGTTAAATGTGATGTTTTTATATATATACACACCTATATTTGCACTTATATTGACTGCTTTTTTATAGAAAGAAATAAACGGGTACTGTTGTACAGTGTTGAACGTTTCATTGACAGCTTTCCATT